TGCCCCTTTATTTAATCCTCACCCTGGCTCTAGAACCAAATGCTGTTCGGTATGCTTGGTGTGCCTCTTTCCAGTTCCTCCTCATCCTTTTTTGTACCCATGCCATGTACTGACATTAAGGAATACTGTAACACAGGGCCAAAAGGAGGGCAGACATCTGGGCAATGTTACCCAGGAAGTAGAATCTTGAAGACCTCCCCCTGCCCGTTTCACAATTCAAACCCTCACTCCTTACACACTCCTGTGATATTTGCCTTCCCTCACCGGAGCACTATTCAGGACAGAGCCTGACATTTCTTTTCTTGCCATTCAAAGTGTAAAAGCTCTGAAGCCCACTCTGACTAGAAAGCAAGGAAGGAAAACTGAATTCTGGACTGTTCAGCTCATCAAGCCTGAAGATGCCTCATTAAGAAAACAAGAAGATGGAAATTATTTTCAACGGTGGAGAAAAAGATGTTATTTTTTTCACCCTCCCATCAGCCTATAAAATCATTCTGCTCTTACCAGCAACTGCAGTCTCTAAGAAAGAGCCTTCCAAAGAACTCCATTTTAAAACCAATTTCTTACTCTGAAATGAAAGTGCAAGAAAACACAAAGTGCCCCTTTATTTAATCCTCACCCTGGCTCTTGAACCAAATGCTCCTAACCCTGTCAACCTAGTCCTTTAGGTTTTGTTAAAAATTTTAAGGACTATTTGGATGGCTCTTGTATATAACGTCACGGAATATGCCCAGAATCCATAGTGAAATGGCCTGCTTTCATGACACAAAACTCTTCAGCTTCTGCATTGCTCGTATACAATTATTTCTCCTCATCAGACTGAGGCAGGTGGTTACTTAGTGCCCATTAAAAAACATCTGAAAAACACTTTATGATGCTTATTTCACTAAATATAATAATTTCATAATCAGCGAAAACCACTGTAAAAGCCACACAGGATTTCTTCATTACACAGCACTGCAGTACAATGCTGTGTTATGATTTGTGAGAAGCCCCACACAATAGAGGTTCACTCTCCAAACACCCCAAACAAGACGTGCTCCTGCTCACCACTGAGGGAGTATCTGGCCTTCAGAGAGTAAATTAGTCATCTACCTGACCAGAATTGTCAAAACTCAGTTTTTACCACAATGAGAAGGTGTTAAAGAACTACATTAATATCCCTAAAACTTAAAAACCTAGAGAGTTAAACCGCAACTGAGAACAGGACGTGGGCTTTAATAACAACATGGGTAAATTCGACATGCACGTTCTTTTGTGCACTAGGGCCCATACTGAGTTACTTTCCTGCAGTTGTATTCTACTCCCCACTGTTACAGAAGCAAAGTTAAAAATTATGAGCTGCAATTACAAATATATTAAATATTTCATGGAGCTTCTGTCACGCCTTTCCCAATCGAGATGAATTTTCTTTTATATTTAAAATCCAAAAGCTTGGATGTGGTTTTCTAGAAGACTTAAAATTACTGCTTTTCAATCAAATTATCTACCCCAGGGAGAACTTCTGAAAGAAAACTTGATCTTACAATATGAACAAATGCAGACTGTGTGTTTTTCAGAAAGCCACTAGAGTAAGAATCAGATCAGCAGTACAGAGTGCTTTCAGTTTTACTGACTTCCCACACCATCAGCTTCTGATTTGCAGCTAAAGAAGTTGCTTCCTCAGAGCTCCCGAGAGATCTCATACTTCACTTCCAAAGGTGAAACATTATCTTGTGATAATCTGAGATCACGGAGATAACAGAGCCACAGACGTGCACGAAGCACATTTTGCTTACCTGTGAAATCCTCTGCTCTTAAAAAGAGGAAAGTGATGCCTCTAAAGCTCAGGTTGCTCAAGGCAAACACAGGTAACCGTCACCAGAGGCACCAAAAATTTCAGGACAGTCTGAGTTTAGAATGATCATACGACACGTTTTATCCTCAGGAGCAGTGTTGGCCTTCTCTTAGGACAAGCCCGTACATTACAGAGCAATTGCTTCCTAAAGACTGTGCCACATGAACTTCAGTTTCCTTCTTTCCTTCCTGCCTCAGCACTACCTGCCAGCTGCAAGACTTCCATCCAGCTGCATTGCATCTGCACTCCTCCATCGACCAGCCATTGGCTTGCCAAACACAGTACCAGCTGCAGCTGCTTCCAGGCTAAACATTTGCCTGTTAGCTACACAAAGGGTGCATAATTACTGGGCAAAAGTAGAAGTAGAACCAGTAACCATTTCTTTTCTTTCTGTGAAGTTGCAGCATCAATTAAAATATCTTATCTCTACCTGGTTCCAGTTTTTCCGAAAATCGTAGGTGCTTGTATATCTCTCTATCTCTGTCAATTGTGACTGAAGCTGACCAAATACCGCAAGAACAGATTAATTACGTAAGCCTTGAGTTCTTGGGAAACAAAATAATTATTAAATAAGCAGCAGTTTTAACAATTTTTAAAATTAGCAATAAACACTATCAAATAATAAATAAAAGCAAAAAAGCCAGGACCTAGTTTACATAAATATCTTCACTTCTTTACTTTGAAAATGAGAGCCTGTTAATCCCATTCTCTAGTTAATTAAGTGACATATTTAGAACATATTAGCTTACTTCATAACATTTAAAAAAAAGGAGAAACAACTAATGTAGATCTACATGAAAGTTCTTACTGTCCACTCAAATAGCAAATACCAGTTCTAGGTTACGTTCTGTACAAGACATTTTCCTTTTAATATGCTATGTCATTTATCATTTTGTGTAGTATGTTTTGCAATTCAGGTCTCACCTGCAACAGGAGAGGTATAAAGGTTTCTATCTCCAGAATCTGAGCAGACTCTTCCATTAAGATGTTGTCATACTGAGGAAGAAAAAGGACAAAGAGATGTCCATCAACCAAGTAATACAAGGGAATGTTGATATCCAGCACACCAAAAGAAAGCATCAATTAGTTGGTTTTCGAAGGTTAGGACAGTTACTGTGTAGGATTTTACCTTACAGGCAAAATATTACCAAAAAAATCAATGTCAGGATGAAATCCTACTACACTAAGGGCATAACTCTGTGTACCAATCAGGGCTTAAATCTAGAAGGAATCCATGACTGAACTACACGCTGTGCTTCCCACATGCTACAACCCAGTCATAACAGAAAAGCTTTCTGAAGTGGAGCAAACTGATTTGGTGTCTTTGCACTGAAGCAGGAAAGCAGTACTTCTGTGCTCCAATACAGTACGTTATCAGAGAAGAATAATACTGAAAGGATTATTGGCAGTGGGCTTCTGTTTTGGCTTTATCAGATAAAATTCTGTACTTAACTAATATGTATGGTTAACGCTGCACAGTGAAAATAGCATTGGATCACAGTTCTTCTTCCTTAATTTCTTAATTTTTTAGGTACGTAAAGTTATAAAGGCCATGGTTTATTTTTCCCAATCCTGCCTTTATTTTATTAGTCAATCATATCACTGCAGTCCATCATCTAATACGGCAAAACTAACTTTTCTGGTATGGACATGCACTATTAAGCAATTCTGTATATACAATAACTTAAAAGTGATCTCATCTTTTACTTACAGAAGTTAATTTTTTCTTCAGTAAAATTACTAATTGAAACATACTGGTAAAAAAAATGCAGCTCAGAATAATCCAGTAGCCTAGATTTAGGTCAGATAAAAAAAGTTTAGAAAAGGGCGGGGAGGGGGACCAAACTCAAAAAATAATTAGTGCAGTAACACTAGTATAATCATTACTTTGAAACCTAATTCAACCAAGTCATGTCGTTTCAGAGCAGCATGAGTACAAGTCATGGCAATGATTTTCGCTTCTTTCACCAACAGGTATTTGGATCTATCCAGGCCACTGCGAAGAAGTTCAAATGCTCTGAATTCCTATGGAGGAAAAAAGCAATTCTTTACATTCAGAATACAAAAAAAAAAAGAAGTATTGCTTATAAAATGTATTCACTCAAACTATCTGGGCATATTCTAAATATAATTAGGGAAGAAAGTTATGAAGGTATCTACTGTTAACAATCTCACCTGAATAATTCTTTTATGGTAAACCTGGAAACAACAATAAAAACACGAACCATTCTGCAAACGTAAATTTGCAGATAATTATCCAATTAATTCTGAGGAACCCTCTCAGAAGCCCCCAAAATTCTGATTTACTGCATCTTCTTGTTTCATACTTTACTCCATCATAACATCACATCAAACTCAGAATTAGAAAGATCAGTACAGTTAATATGACAAATGATACACAGATCACCTTCACCCTAACTTTTAAAAGCCTCTCATGCAATTCTGGGAAAAATGGAAGATAAATCTGTTCAGTTTAATTCTAGGTTCTCTGATTAAAGGCAATTCACTGTAAACACAAAGACCCTGTGAGGATCAGAGAAGCAGTGGTAGGCTCACCAATCACAGTAACCTAATCAATGAAAACGGACACACAGAACAGCTACTTCCTAAGATCAAAATAAAACAGATTAGACTCTTGTCCCTGCTGTGAACATTCTTATGTTACTCAAAGGTGGAAATTCTCACCTGAATGCCTTGCAAGCTAATGAAGCTGCCTAGAGGTATATATACCCCTTTCAGGATGTATGGCAAAGAATAATTCTGGAACTGTGTAAAGGTTTTTTATAGGATTAGTCAGATTCACTTACTTTTAATAGTTACACGTCTTACCTCAAGTTGCGTGAATATTTTCTTAACATGTCTAAAACATCCTTCTGCAATTTCCATATCTTCTTCATAGGATTTGCCTTTAAAAATTGGTTGAGGAGCATTTGCAAAATACTGATGAAAAGGAAAGAAACTGGAGACATCTGCAACATCCGGCAATTTTCCACCTTTAACTTTCACTTTGCTGATATACTCCTCCCAACGAGACATTACCTATGGCAAATACGAGTGTCATATCGACATGTTTTTAAATTATCAACTCATTGTCAAGATGTAATCTTGCACACATAGCATTAAATAAAAACCACAACTTCTGTAAAACTATATACAGCATACGCATTTGATCCTAAGTACCAGTCTACAAGATTGCATAAGCCACAGTAATTGCTAATGTAGGCCACATCACTGAAAAATACGTGTAAGAGAAATGAGGGATATACAATATACAGAAAATCACTGTTTAGTATACTAGGCATCCAATTCCACACTGGCATTTAATGCCATAAAAGTTCTCTAGCAGGACCAGCAAGTAGCTGCTCTGATGCTTGTCGAAAACGTAAAGCAACCCACAAATTCTCCTATCTGAAGGAGAAACTTCAGGCTAGAATCTTTTGTCAGGAGCCATGAAAACCAGCAATGCTAGCCTTTCAGCTGGTGAGTCATCAGGCAGGATTTAAAACAATAGCAATACAAGTAAGTAATGCTGCAATTATAGCTTTAGCTGCTATTGTATTTTGAACCACCAAATAAAATGAGGGGTTTTTTTTTTTTTAACTCAATTCTCAAAAATCCACTTCAATTTTTACGAAGTGTTTCATAACATATTGAGGTCATACAGTCTCTCTAGAAATTCTCCTTACTTGGTATAAGAAAAAGTGTCCAGCTGTTTCACAAGTATAAGAAACATCTCCTGGCACTCCAAGACTCTCTTGCAATCGCCCAACTTCTCGCAGAAGTTCAAGTCTTCGAGCCAGCACGTAATTAACTCTTCCATACCTATAAAATTAAATTAAGATTAAACACAATGTAATTTGTATTTAAATGTATTCAATTCAAAAAATTTTACCTAAGCATCACAGTAAGAGGTCACAAAAAACCCCCAAAATACCTCCCCACTATTCTCCCCCTCAATTACTACCTGGTTCCAAAACTCAAGAACTTGCTACATGCCAGCTACTTCTATCAGTTGAGCCCTAATAACTTACAAAGCCATGCCAGAGTCATTACTCTAAAAAAAGCTCCTTTTAACCTGTCACTTCCACAAAAGCTTCCTAAGTGTTAGTAAAACATTCTCATTATGCACCCGCAGAGCAGAAGAGCATTACTTCCAATGTGCTTGGTTAGGAACTCTGGTACACTGGGTGTTACACAAACACAAGCGAGTTGTACATGTCCATGGATCACCACAAATAGAACCTACACCTGAAGTTCCAAGCACAGGTGTGAAGAAAGGTCAACTTTCAAGTTCTCATTTGACTTACTACTCATAAAATATGCTTTCTGCACGGGAAAAAAACCTGACACAATCCTTCGTAATCACAACAGGCTCTATTGTTTTATTTAGAAGGGTAAGGGTGGTTAAAGCTGGAGATTTAATTTACTACGACACAACTGAATCCAATATTGTTCACAATTGGAAAAAACAAGTTCCTCAGGAACTATGACAGTTATCCTTGGAATACTAAAATCTAATCCATTATAATTACAAGTGACTGCAACCAGTTGGTGTTTTTTTTCCCCTTACACTTCCAACATCCTCTTATTTCTCACAACTCAAGTGATATGTCCTTTTATGTATTTGTTAACTGACACAAAAACTTTCTTTAGCTGGGATTCCCTTTGTGTTTAAGTGACAGTACCAGTTTCATCAGCCCCTCTCCACTTTATGTTTTCACACTCCGGGCCCCTCTTTGCTTGCCTGCAGAGGGAGCAAAGGAGGAACACTGAGCTCAGAAATTCCTTAGGCAGTATCAAGCCCCCTAAAACAGCCTGACACAGAAAAAAATATGAGCTCAGCAGCAACTTAAAAACAAACAAGAGGCATGTGGGAAATAAATTTCTCTTCCCACAGTTCTGAAGCCCACCTTTACATATACTCCTCAACCCTCATCCCTCCCAAACTACCAGAACCCAGAGGATTTGCAGTAATGCCCTGCAGGTCTGGAGTCAGCTTGAAAAATAACAAAAATAGAAAATGTAGAGTGTCTCAAATAAAACTTCCTTTAATGATGAGCACTACAGTACAAGGAATATACTAAACCATGGATAATGCTAAATAAATATCTGGGATGGCACCATTTCATGAAGGTTTTTGCTATCAAATTTCTAGAATAATTTGACTATGCCAAAGCATTCAAATTTAAAAAAAATTAAAAAATCACAAGTTACTTATTTTGCTAAATGAAACTCAAGTATGCATATGTGGGTAGATTCCTTAAAGAAAGTTAAAAGTAATGCTAAAATAATCCAGTACTGAGCAGTTCAGTTAGTTCCAGTGCACAACCATTTTACCCCTACTTACATTTACGAATGCATGTAATCCTGCTGAGTCAATTGGACTAACAGGTAACAAACACATAAATATTTATATGAACAGGCTCTTTATCTTTGTACTGATACAGAGTTGACAACTTTCCTTATGTATGTATTACTACAAAACGTGTCATTTACCCGTGAAATAAGTAACTTCACAGTTAAGCAATATTTTGAACAATTACAAGTAGAAAGTTTTCTTTCATGTTTATATTTATTAACGCAATATTCACCATGCCAGTAGACGTGGAATCATATTTGTACAAAAAGCCCTCGAACTGCAAAAACCTACTTTTATTATTCAATTCTCTGTCAGAAAACGGATAAATTCTGTGAAGTGTAAGTGGGCCTAGAGTATGTTGAACTACTTTTATTCAAGAGTTTGTGAACAAGCAACTGCCTGATTCTGCCTCTGGATTCTCAAGAGAGCACAGTTTCTCTACCAAGTAAGAACCAAAATTACTTATCCATGTATTGAAAGCAATTGCACTCTGTGTTACTGGGATTCAATAATAGGAGAAAGGTAAAACCTGTCAAGCACAGCTCCTTGCTCATTTTACAAGGGAGGTAGAATGGATTCAATGCATACTTGCATAAATATTGTAGCAAAATTGAGTTTATCACTAGCACCTCCTTCCTCACCTGCTGAAATCTTTCTCTGTCTCCAATTCCTCTTCTCCATGACCCAGACGCAGGAGGTGACGCTCATCAATGTCCAGCGCCATGATTTTTTCAAACAGCTGGTTCAAGGCCTAAAGATTGACAAGAACAGAAGAAAAGGCAGTTTTTAGAAGTTCAGAGGCTCTTGCAGGGGAAAACCGAAGAATTATTAGTAAGCCAGCTAGGAAATTATGCTTGGTTTTGTATAAATGGAAGCCAATACAAACATTAAGTTAATACTGAAACTAGAGCTCTTAATCTTGACAACAGGGAAATCAGCCTGCTAAAACTCTTGCACTTGCATACTCCATACAACAATTAAGTTTGTTTTTACAAATTTAAAATCATTTTAAAATTTGATTCTATCACCTGATTTAATTGATAAAGTTATGACTTTATAAAACTGTCTTAAGAAGCACAATTTGCAAGCATGTTTTAAGATGACTTGAAACTATTTAACTCCTACTGTACATTAGAAGAGTGGAAATCTTTAAGACTTTTATCATTATCTTTCTTATTTTATACATACTTGAGAATTAGCAGCTAGACTTCATCTCTTATGAAGAGGAAATAAGCAATTAGTTCAAGAGGCCTTCCCTTGGAAACATAAAGCACAGAGCAAGCAGTGTCAAGAAAGTTAATTAGCAAAAATCCGGCGCACATGCACCGAATATGCAGCTGCAAGAACTGTGCCGACACTTCTTCAAAATACTTCTAAATTTCTAACCCCAACCAGTTAAATATATTTAAAACCTTTGAAAAATAGTTCAGAAAAAAAATAAATCTTAAATTCACATTATGAAACTGGCAAAACTGCACACAAGCCAACTCAAGTTTTCATTAAGAGAGAACTGCAATCCCAAACCGACTGATCTCAACATCTGCTGTTCTTGATTTCAGTTACAGGAAAACTTCAGACATGACTTATACTTTACCTGATTAGAGTGGGTAACTATAAGAGTTCGTTGTTCTGGGAAATTATGATAAATATTGGATATTATCTGAACTGCTACATCAGTTTTTCCAGTACCAGGAGGACCCACAACCTAAAGTCAAACAAAAAATTGAACAAAAAAAAAAAATCAACACACAGTTTATCAGAATATTGCACAACACAGAAATATAGCCAGCTGAGAAAAAACAGAACAATCACACAAGATGCTGACATCACACATTAACAACAACAACAGCAAAAAACCGTTCTATTTTACACGCAACTGCTTGCTGGCTTCTGTGAACTTCAAGAACATGTACATGCACCGTGACAGATTTAGCCCAATACTAATGCAGAGTCCTGTCTAAGAGGAATAACAGCCCACCTCAGAGAAAAAGGGGTGTTGAGCCCCAGGAGAGGCTAAACACAGAGGAAATGGTGAAAAAAGCATCAAAACACACAATTGAAGAACAGGGTGAGGCTGATATAAAGAATGAGAAAGAGTCCATGCTTTTTATTTATTCAGAAACCTACAACTGATGATCCAGAAGCAATACTGATAGTTAATGTTTTTACAGGCTCAATTATACTAACATTCAAAAATTTACACTTGAGACATTTTAAAAAGTAATCAAGTATTATAAAGTATCTCAAAAGTAATTTGTTCAGCATTAAGAAGCACAAACAGCAGGTTTTATATATATCTACACATAAAAATCACACCAAAAAACCCTTCCAACACTGTTTAATAACCAAATTCAAAGCATCTATTACTGTGGCATATTCACAGCATTGAGGGGGGGAAAAAAAAAAAAAGCAGCTTTGATTTCTAAATAGACCTTAAAGTTGATATTCTATCAGCAACCAGAAAGTTTTGCTGTCTTCCAGTAGAAAACACTCCATACTCAAAAACAGTGTCAAGAATTCAAGTAACTTTTAAACATGTTTACAATGCTACTTATTTCAGCACTCTTAGCAGAATTATATGCCTTTTGTCCTTGCCTGACTGAAGGTTATTCTTTCCTTTGCCTTGCATCTTTTGTGTGCTGGCAATAGAATGTATAAGGAGTGGAAAACGAGAAGAGAAAGGGGAGGAGGAAGGGTGTGGTACCAATGAAGACCAATAGAAAAACCTAAAAATTAGCATTATTTCCTATATAGACCATGAATAAATTTAGAGTATCGGAGAAAAGTCATTTGAACATTCCACTGAATCACTACAAGCATAGACTTGTACTTAAAGTCTAACTGAGAGCGGCAAACTTTAAAGACCTTTGCAGAAATTCACTGATCAATAACGATTTTCATCCAAATCTACCGTTTTAGTTTGGTTTGTTAACTTCCTAGTTCTGGAAGTCAGTAGATGATAAAGAACTGCACATCACATTTCACAAGGCAGCAGAAAAATGCTCCCTGAAGGCAATTCGACGACTTTCACTTCCTTTAATGGAGTTAGATCAAACAAAAAAATGCTGCAAGTAATTTAAAACAGCCAAAAATGACAGACATGGCAAGTTTTACTGTCTAAAAGTAGCAATCCAACTACTGAGAAAGCAAATTCAATTGTTGTGGGAAGTCTTCAGCTATTGAAACACAGGACGCAGTTATGCAGAGATCAAATGCATTTCTGCATGATTTTCTGAAGATGGGAGGATGTTGAATTTTGTATGTCAATTTTTAATATTTTTAAACTACTAATAGAAGTGCCCTCAGCAAGGCTACCAAAATGGGCATTACTGGGATTTTGCTGAATGTAGCTAAAGTCAGAACCAAATAAATAAGCGTATAAAATCCTTAAAAATATTCTTACCATAGTCAGCCCAGGCTGCATTCCCGCACGTATAGCTTCAATCTGAGTATGGGTAAATTGAATAGTATTGCTGTAACAAAGCAAAACAAGAACAGAGAACTGATTGATTTTGCCAACAGTTTTGATAAATGCAACTTCTTTAACAAATTGGATTTAAATTAATTGGCTCTATGTTTTTCCAGAACTATATGCTTGCAAACTTTTTTATAAATTAAACCAACATTACAACTACATGCTTTATAGGCATAACAATCTTGCAGATTCTAAACCATGCAGTAAATCAAGTTGTCCACATGATAAAGATTGTCTGTCTTCAGTTACTATTTGCTGAGAATGTTGCAAAATTATTTGCCATGATTCTCCTAAGATTTAAAGTCCTGACACATTGCTCTTCAAGGGAATTTTTTATCAGAGAGTATAACAGAATAGTTTGATTTAAAAATAAAATATTAAAATCTTCTGGTAATGAAACCAAAATGACATTTTCTTAATAATCAACAATATTATTTCTTAAGCATTTCTGAAAATGAACTGCTATGCATAAGTTACCATTTGTAAACAAGTTACCCCTTTATTACCGTTTTGGCTGGTTATATGGATATGGTCCCCGGTTTGGAATTACATGCGGCTCTACAAGCAGTGTTTTAGCTTCTTCAGGTTTTTCTTCATTACCACCCTCCTCTTTTCTCTTCTTTCCTTTACCTCCCCTTATTGGGAAAGTTATCCTGTAACAAGATAATTTGAGACTACACTTCAACAAGCATTATAACACAGACTGTCTTAGAAGTTTATACAGAAAGATTTTTTTTGTCACCATTAAGTCAAACTTTCACAAACCAGGGAAACAATAGTTGCAAATGATAAAGTATTAATAAGGGTAAATAAAAGGAACAATAAATAATGATGCTGATTTTAAGAAAGTAGATTTGACAAAAAGTGTGTCAAAAGAACTTTTTACATAGCTTGAAAATTCAGGAGCAGTGCTGACAGCTAGCTGGAAAAAAAGCAAATACAAAGAGTTCATAAACAAAAACGGAAGGGTCAGGAATAAAGTTTTAACAGAAAGCCATCAGCATCATCTGTTCAACAGTAATAACTAGATTTTGTTCTAGAACTGATGCACGCTTTTTTCTCTCTTTTCTAATACGAGATAAGTCAGTCTCAAACTGCTCCAACACATGAAGCCTTTTATTCTCACATTTCCATTTTTCTTATAGTTCTTTGTATCATATGCGAGAAATCGTCTCTAATTCAGAAACAAGTCATAGTGAATGAATTCCAATGGTTATCCTATTATCATGTGACAACAATGCAGACATCTTCTACAGCAATAATCTCAGTCTATTTACAGGTCAAATGCAGCAGTAGGAAGAGCAACAGCTCTTCGTAAAGAGGAGTATCTGTATTTTAACCTATGTACTGAAAATGAACATCAGCTCATCAAGGGAAATTGTGCATGGTATAATGTCTTTATGCCTTCAGACGTTTTATATCATTATATAGTGCTAGTGTCTTCTCCATGCATACTCTACACGCAGTGTTTCAAAAAAAAGCATGGAAGATTACTTCCCTACTTTTCAAGATACAATTTAGCCATGGTAAGAGCTGACTGGGAGAGGGGGGAAGCTACCTTTTCCCGCCCCAGATCAAACCTAGTCCTTCAAAAGGAAACATATTTTAATTCTTATGAACTTATAAGGGAAAAGAGATGTATTTTCTTCAGTCCAGCTGAAGAAACTGTTCTTCACTATGCACTGTGAAACTTGGTTGCCAGAGTCCAAGAAGGTCCAGCAGGAGGGACAGAACTGTCAAGCCTAAAATGCTGAACACCATCACTGAAACAAAACGTGTAATCTCATTTAGCAGTCACAAAGGTAGGCATCCTATTTCAGAAATAATTTCTAAAATAAAATAAAATAAGTAACATGGCATTTCTGAATTAATTCTCTATTTTGATTCTATGGCCTTTCCAATTTCAAATTTTAACTGATGTTGAAATTGTTGTTCTGAGCTTCCTGTACTGAGACATGTAAGGAAGCTATGCCGTTAAAAATCTTTTAGGCTGAACTTGAGGAGGCTAGATACTATACTGCAGAAGCGATTACTACGTGTCTTGATTCTACTTCATACTGTTGCTTTTCCTACGTACTCAACAGGCTGATCTACAAGCAATGCTCTGATCCATTTTTGTACAGAATAAAGCAGAAGCTTGTTCTGAGCCTAACTGTAGGACAGATAAGATTTACATAGTTATGTAACATATTAGCAACTTTTCTAAACAAAAAAAAAAGAGAGAAAGAAAGAAAGAAAGGACATCCCTTCAACCACTGAACCTGAAAACACACTTAACACCAGACCAGGAATATTTGACTATTGGAGATCACCTGAAGGGGGGTATTTGCAGAACTGGATTGTCAACAGTCACTTTAATATTATATCCAGGAAAGCTAGCTTTTAAGTGATCAATGGACAGGAAAGTGTCATTAAAATCCAGAGTTGCGATCTGATTTGGCATTTTCGAGTAGTGTGCACTACTTGGGTCTCCATATCCAAGAATGATGTCATGCAGCCAGTCAGGAACCACACAATCTGTGTTCATCAAATTCCTAATAGTCTCCAGAACAGCCTGCAGGTTCGAAAAATAGAAAAAAAAAATTATTGGAATGATTGCCTTTTAACGAAGAAACATGACATAATGAAAACTAATCAAGTCTATTGTAAGCTACTAGCACATAAAAGTCTTTGACTGACAGGTGTTTGAGTAGATTGAGCCCAAATGTTGCTTTTGTAACAAATATCCAGCCAAAACCAAGCATGGAATTTTATTCTGATAGTCTAAATTACATATCCAGCCCCAACAGGCAGGACTCTGCCCTCTTCCTGCTTGTGTATCATTCAAGGAATCAAAGCAATGCAACCATCATTCCTGCTTAAATAGTCAACTTCTGTAAAGGTTCAGATTCTTTACCTCTACCCAGCACGAGTGAGATTGTATCTGGAGCACTGAGCCCAGAGTTGGGCCCCTCGGGACAAGAGGCACAGACACACTGAAATGACTCCAGCAAAGGGCCACTAAAACGATGAAGGGACTGAAGAATCTGTTATATGAGAGGCTGAGAGAACTGGGATTGTTTATTCTCAAGAAGACAAGACTCCGGGGGTGGTGCAGAATTTTACCAGTTTGTGTAAAAACGAAATAATGGCAGGAAGAGTAAGGACAATGGAACTGGAACCAGGGCTCCTCTCAGTAATGCCCTGTGAAAGGACAACAGGCAATGGACACAATTGAGATGCAGAAAATTTTACTTAAATACATGTCAGAGATTTTACTGCATGGCTAACTGAATGCTGGAGCAGGTTGTCTAAACAGGTTTTCAGTCTCCATCACTCCCTTAACTCAAAAGGCTAAATACAACCTATCTATAGGTTACCTGTTAAATAACTTAAATTATCAACTAATGTTTTATTATATACTCGAGGAGCGTTCTGATTTTCAGTTACTTCGACGTTTATCCTTAGGGGGAAGTTACCACCAGCTGACATGGTCTCACTTCCTGAAGTGATCCAACATGACCTGAAAAGCCTAACCACATGCCTCTAAAATTAACATGTCTCAGCACTGCTGGTAAATTCAGACAAACTCCTACCCTAAGTGTCAGTGAGCAAGCACCTTACCTTGAAATTGTTTTCTTTTGGTTTTCTTCTCATTATTATATTGAAAGTCTCATAAACATCTTCTGCTCCATTTTGGATTGTATTGGTCATGTCTTGTTGATACTGGTTTGGGTCCAGAAAAACTCTGTATGTTCTGCAATCCCCTTTAAGTCTTGGTTTGGGTTCAGGTCCTACCCATAACGTAACAGTAAGATTAGAATTTGAAGTAGTGCTAAATGCAGATTATCATTCAAATAAATGATCCATAACCATTCCAGAAATTAAATACAGACAAATTCATATGATAAACTAATTTCTGCATAGCATTATGAACATTATTTCTTGTTTTCATGCAATTTCTAAAAGAGTTTTTGAATATAAGCTATTTTATTCCTAAACCCAAAATGTACTGGATTTATGTAATTCATCTAATTACATCATATCTTACCAAAGAAAACTAGTTAACTTTTCTCAGGCTGCTTATGAAATTGGTTTTTTCCAGTAGGTAATGAATGCAAGGAACTCTCTTAACAGAGAAACAAGTCAATAATTATCAGGCTGTTTAAGAAAACAAATAAAATTGAAAAAATATCTATCATACCTTCTTCAATAACACGTCCTTTCTCATCCAACATGCCCTGGATCTCACAGCCTCTGACATAGACCAGGCCAGTTTGCTCAACGAAAGGTCGTCGTCGGTCAAACTTGGTGCCATAAGGTTGTGTGGGACGTACCGTAATCAAAAAGCAGACATCGTGCTTGCGCAGACCTGACTCCAAAAAGAAACATTTGGTGATTTGATTGTTAAGGAATGGATAAGGAAAATGGCATTCATATATATAATAGAATGCACAAAAATTTCTTTTAAATAAACCCCCACCTGTGCAGAGAACAATGTGTTCTGTTTCAAAAATATGCCTTTAACTTAAGAGGATACAGAATGCAAGATGTCGTAGCCTTTTCCACTACTCCTGCACACTAATATCCGCTAGGACATCGGATATGATAAAGAGAAATTGACTGTTTTTTTCTCGATAATAAACTTATTTATTTCAAGATTACTGTTCTTCCAATAATCTTACTTAGGTTACACTACCTAGATAATCTCAGTCTTATCTCAAACGTGGCTTGTCATTGATTCTCATTGCTTTCTTCTGGACTAACCTCCAATACTATTTTTTTTAACAACAGTTTAAGTGCAGTGCATAGAACTGGGCACACAATCCTAAACAAAATTAGTTATCTACTTAACACTGAAAAAGGTCACTTAGCCCAGTTACTTGTTTTCCATGCTACATTCCAGTTTATAAATCCTGACGTGACTTGGCTGAGTGTTTTTCTTTTTCCCACAGCAGTAACATGTTGTTGTGCAGTCACATTCACTTCAAGCCATGATGACCTCAGACTTTTTCCATTTTGCAGAGCTACTGCCTAACAAGTTACTCCTCTACCTGGCATTTGTGCAGCGACTTGTTCTTGCTTAAGTTTAGTATCTTAGTATTAATCCCCACTTTTAAACCACAGTTTCTCCAATTCACTAATGTCATTTTGAACACTAATCTTTTTCTCCAGGATACATAGATTCTCACAGATCTAAGACGTGCAAAATTTAGTGAATACATTTGGTGTTTTTCATATGAGACAAATAATTTCTCATTACACCCAGATATTATCCAACCTAGAGCAGTTCCATCAAGTCCCTGTTATGTCAGACAATGATTCATGAATTCTTCATGTCAGATTTGATAAAAGCATTACTGCTTTTCATCACAGAGGCTATTCCAGTATTTAAAAAGCTAGGTGTACCACTACATAGCTACCTTCAGTAAAGTCTGCTGCCATCCTCCTAGCTTTTTCACTTTAACAGAAATCTCCATTGCCAAACTTTTGTCTGCTTATTTATCATGTGCTCCAGCTTTAGCATTTGTGCTACGTGACTTGTAATCGCACTGTGCAGCTCCAGCACACTTAACAGGTTTCTCTAACAAAAGAGAAGGGAGTGACGTTTACTGATAATCCAAGTGCAAGTACATGCTTCTATGTGACTTGCCAATATGGTCAACTAAAGCTCAGCTCCCCAAGCAAAAGAACTGTTGCCTATGGAGACTTGCAAGAAACGGTATTTGGTACAGTCAGCACTTCCTAACAACATTCAAATACACCGAAACCTACTAAAATGCATTGGTTTGAAGTAAGTCAAAATCTGTCCTCTCCAGGTATCACGTTCCCCACTACTTTTCCAATATGACATTATTAGCGTGCATATGAATTTAAAATGTTACGTTACTTTTGCCAGAATTTTACAGTTACAAACTGAATGATATCAGGCTGAAATAGTAAACATTCTGTTCCTAAGGGACATGTAAATACTTCAATAATTTCAATCCTCATTCCAGGAAAGTATAAACTTCTTAGAATTGGATTTTTAGTAACTGACTTTTAAACAGTACATTAAGAACAGCAAATCTGTATCTACCTCAGATTAAAAAAGCACCTTCTTCACAAATAAGATTGTATTACATATTACAGTGAATTCTGACGACTTATTCTGAGCACCTTATTTCAAAGAATGCAAGTACCTTCCCATTCATCTTTGATGTTATCTCGGACATTCAAATTAATTGTAACATCTGCTCGTACTCGCATAGGCCAATTTTCACCAATATTGGGCTTTGCCACCTCCACCACTGTGAATGAGACAATGGGTTGTGCCATCCTAGCCCATCCACCAAAGACCACACCTCCATATTCTGATAACCTAAAAAAAAGAACAAAAACCCCCAAACATCAAAGTTTTGTTAGTCATTACCTGATAACATTCAGTTCCTTTTTTAAAGTGTGAAACAGTTTACCTCACTGTGAGCTCTGAGACAAAAGTAGAAGTTTTAATTTCAAATGCTACAGAAGCAGATTTGCATAATCTTGCTTTTTAGAACTGAAGCATAACACAAACTGACTTATAGTTACATTTCAAGAAACAAAGGCAACCTATGCTGGCATTATTAAGAAGGGGGAGAAGAAAAAGGGAAGATAACGAAAAGCAACTGCCAAGTGTAAGAGGTATCATGTCAAATGATCCCTTGAAATCTAAAGAGGATCAAAATGTGGCAGATGGCAAATTCAATACTCAGTAACTCCCATAAACCAGAAGAGTCAATGGCAGGTTTCCCCATTTCATAACATCAGCCAAGGCTTCTTACTTTTGCAAAACTAACTCATCCATCCTAACACAACAAAGGTTCGTTGTTAGCATCCAACATCCTTTCTTAACACATTTACACGGATGTACATCAACATACCCTTAGGAAATCATCCTGCAGGATGCCAACACCTTATGGAAGAAGTTAGTATAAAACATAGTACCGATGTAATAATTTAAAATACATTTTTTATTATGTATTTAGTATATACATAATATCACTTGTTTATTCTTGAATGCATTTTCATTACAATTTAACTGACTGGTTTGCATCGGGTAATAAATATTACCATGGTTTCATCCTACTGACACTATCTTCAATGTCCTGTCTGATTTCGTAGGTAGACTCTAAGCGGAAAAGATTGAAGTTCCTCAGCAGGTAGTCGTGAAGAGTCAGAAACTGTAGATTCAATTTGGGAAGTGCAAGACAGCCTAAGGATGTAAAGGTGGAAGAGACAAGGTATTTGATGGAAAAACAAAAACAAGAATAATTAATATATTGGTTCTAGGAACTCATACATACATGCATACATTACTTTACAACCATCATAGTTGTTAACCTTGGAGATTCTAGGAACTCCTAGGAACTCCTTTTATAAATATAAGCTACTAAAAACCACACATTTTCCAGGATTTCCCTAAATGAACCTGCACAGAAGGCCAATCGCATCCTGGGCTGCATCAAAAGCAGCGTGGCCAGCAGGTCGAGAGAGCTGATTCTGCCCCTCTGCTCTGCTCAGACCTCACCTGGAGGACCGTGTCCAGCTCTGGAGCTCTCAACATAAGAAGGAGGTGGATGTGGACTGTTGGAACAGGTCCAGAGCGGGCCACAAAAATTATCAAAGGGCTGGAACACCCTTCCAATGAGGACAGGCTGAGACAGTTGGGGCTGTTCAGGCTGGAGAAGAGAGGGCTCTGGGGAGACCTTATAGCAGCCTTCCAGTACCTGAAGAGAGCTACAGGAAAGCTGGGGAGGGACTGTACAAGGGTGCGTAGCCACAGGATGAGGGGAAACAGTTTTAAACTTGAGGAGGGTAGATTTATATTAGGTATCAGGAAGAAGTTCTTTACTGTGAGGGTGGTGAGACACTGGAACAGGTTGCCCAGAGAGGTGCTGGAGGCTCCATCCCTGGAGGCATTCAAGGTCAGGTTGGACAGGGCTCTGAGCAACCTGATCTAGTTAAAGATGTCTCTGCTCACTGCAGGGGGGTTGGACTAGGTGACCTTTAAAGGTCCCTTCCAATCCAACGCATTCTGCTTGTTCCAAGATTAAAGGAATTTTCATCCTTCTGAACTATTTAAAGACTGAATCCATCCCTGTATTCAGACTATAGAAAAACCGATTTTATAAAAAAACAGGGCAAAGTAATGGTACTTTGGGAATGCAATAATTAAGCCAGCATTAAATAACGCTAAATAATGATTAAAAAGGCTCATTAACTAACAAAAGGTCCTAAAGCTTGCATAGCTTTAGGGTAGTTTCAGATACAAGATTTTTTTCTACTGGAAAATTTGAATGTTAATCATTTAACATCACTTGACTAACATTCCAGCTTGACAGCTATGCTTAAGACCTGTGAAAATTAAGAGAAGCAAAATAGAAAAATACTTTTAACAGTGACAGCAACAGCAGTCCTTCACAACAGATAATAATAGCAGAAGAGTTCACCACAGAAGCAGGAAATGTTTCCACTAGCAATCACTGTTACATGCCAAATTTATTTGTCACCATTAATAAAATTTCTTTAATGCATTATTAAAGTCACAAAATCACAGAGAAACACACCTGATGAGCTGCTCTTCCTACCCGCTGGCAAGAACACATATACTGTGATTAATATATTTGGCTAATAAAACACAAAATAAACACACAGTGCATGAACAAGTTAAGTATTGCAAAGTCAGCCTTCCAATACGGTCTGAATGACAGCAAAGCTACCTTGACTTGTATTGAAGAACCCGAATGTTCCAGAGCATTATTACAACCTATGTGTTGTTCACTGAAATTAAAAAAATAAGCCCTTTAGATATTAATTTTCTTGGAATTACAGCAATCATCCTGTTTTGTTGGGTTGGTTTGTGTTTGTTTCTTTTTATTTTTTTGTTGGGGGCTTTTTGCCTGTTCTTTTGTTATTTTGTTTGGTTTATGTTTTAAAGGATAAGCCCCATCAGGAGGCCTATTATTCAGAAACTGAATAATCTTTTAACTACCTGCATCACGCTAAACATAAGTACTTTATCGCTTCTTGGGCAGATCTCTAGATGCTGTTTGTATCTCATCTATCTGGAAAAAGATTCTTTGTTGCCTATAACCTTCCTATCTAAAGGGGTCAGATTTCAAAAATCTTTTTTCTCGTTAATATCTGTTCAAAGAATTTACCCCAAAAAACTAAGTTATGCTAAGCAGTTGAACTTAGAGCTTATACCTACATAAAAAAACCCCAAAAACTTTAATAGTCTTTGAAGATACACAGTATTTGAAACTGTAGTTTTTAACATGGAAATTCTCACGCTCCTAATAAAAATCTTCATGATTCACACTAAAAAAGTTTTTTAAGCAGCTAGACAAAAACACATGCGCTGTTTGCTGCAAATCTTAAAATTACATAATTTCTTGTTTGCAGTAACTACAGTTGGCTTCCTTGACTATGACACTGAGCAAGAACACTAGGCTCTCAATTTAGAGCGTGTGCATTATCTTTCAATAACTATGTGTACACTTCTACCTTGAAATGGAAGAGACAGTGTTGATTTCCTCCCATCATCACTCTTTTTCCTTTTTAAGAAGGCTTTCTTAAACTAAAGCAAAACACAGATAACAGCTTTTTTGCATGTTTATAACCTGCTCCACCTTACAGTAACTACCTGTGCCACAGCTGATGGTATAGCACATCTGCTACCCAGATTAGACACAAACAAATGACTTTGTGCAAACACAGGCCTTTAGATTTTTCTTGAAATTCATTATAAATTTGTTAACAATTTCCTCTCAGAGTTTCTCATGCACAACTCAAAAAAACCTGATCTTACTCTAAAGCATAGGAGGATGCCAAAGTAGTGCATATAAGTTCTGAAGACAGAATGAATGTGAACCTAAGACCTGCTGGTTTTTTTTGCACCATTTACTGAACATACTGCACATTTGCAGCATTTACTGAATCATACCTTCTCCAGAATAATATTCAGTTGGTACTATATTTTCATCCCAAATAATCTTCTCTGTGGGATAGAGAGGCATCTGGTTGAGTTGCTGAATTTGAGATATTCGTCGCTCATGACGGGAAACCTAAGGAAAAGATGCATTTTAAACTTCTGTAAGTCAGAAGGCACAATAAATCTGTTTTTGAAACATATACATTAATCCATAAGACTACTGGTGGTTACTTGCCATCTTCTCTCTTTTAATAAGTTTTGGGTTTGTTTAGTTTTTTTTTAATTCTAACTAAATGCACACAGTGACATCAGAATATGAACAAACATACAGTCCAAATATTGGTCATAGTAGTGAAGTCACCATAGAATGGCCTAAGCTGGAAGGGACCTTAGAGATCATTTTACTCCAGCCTCCCTGCCGCCAGGGACGCCACCTCTCGACTAGATCAGGCAACACATGGGGACCGAATGGGAACACATGGGGACCGAACGGGACACATGGGTCAAACAATAATTTGTCTACTCAGCAGACCAAAAATGGCACAACAGAACTGAAAATATTTAGTTGAGAATCAACTTCGAATTAAATTTATTTTATTTTCCATTAAACATATGGTCAACAGCTAACTAACACTGCTCATTCAGCAACAGCTAGTCTTAATTCCCTCTTTAGGAGGGAAAAAAAAATCCATCCAAGACTACAATATGTCGTCTGAACAAGTATCTCTCCATGGCATCCATAAGCATCATATTACTGCCATCTGAATCTTAGGAAATTACATGAATGATTTTTAAAGACACAAACATAAATTAAAAAGAATTTTTAAAAAGCTATGCAATTCTAAAACTGATACTAGATTAAAAAAGCTATGCCATTTTAATACTTATATCAGAGTAGAAGCCTACTGTCATATTGTTATACGCTGAATATCCAAAGAATCATTCTGTGCATCAAGCAGTATTTAAAATGGGCTTGAAGAACCAAATAGGTATTTAACAGCTATATCTACTTTAGCAGAAATTTTGTTTTTAAAGGGGACAAATAGGCAGACTCTGTCAGTAGTGCCCAGTAACAAGACAAGGGGTAACATTCACAAGCTGAAACACAGAAGTTCCAACTAAACATAAAGAGAAACTTCTTTACTGTGAGGGTGACGGAGCACTGGCACAGGCTGCCCAGAGAAAGCGTGGAGTCTCCTTCTCTGGAGACTTTCAAATCCACCTGGACGACTTCCTGTGTGGCCTACTGTAGGTGACCCTCCTTTAAGTGTGGGGTTGGACTTGATGATTTTAGTGAGGCCTGTTGCAACAGGACACGGGACAATCATTTTAAACTAAAAGCAGGTAGATTTAGACTAAGTATAAGGAAGAAGGTTTTTGACTATGAAGGTGGTGAGACTGTAACAGGTTGCCCAGGTGGTGAAGGTCCCATCCCAGGAGACATTCAAGGTCAGGCTTGATGAGGCTCTGAGCAACCTGATGCAGTTAAAGATGTCCCAGCTCACTGCAGGAGGGTTGGACTAGATGACCATTAGAGGTCCCTTCCAACCCAATGCATTCTGTGATCTCCGGAGGTCCCTTCCAATTCCGACTATTCTGTGAAACAGGTTACTACACAGAGAGCAAAAACTAGTCCAGAACTCAAAACTCTTGCTGAGATTCTGCTTATTAACCATTACACCAAACACACACATACTAGTTTCTCAGGGAAGCTACATTTGCAAGTGAACACTTTCAAATACTTCAATATACAGTTTCAAGCAACCTAAATGGCCAACCTTACTGCCATGTAGCTGGCTAGACCTATGATTCTATAATTTAGCTACATGGTTTTGAGCTTGCAAAGGAACGTGATAACAATCATAAGCTGTGCGAGTCGTGTGGTTACCAGCAGCTCGAGCAGGAACTCCTTGGGGCAGGGGGAGTCATCCCCATCGGGCAGGGCCGGCAGCAGGCACAGGTAGGAGGCAACCCGGTGGAGAACGCTGGCACTGCACAGAAAAAGGGAAAAGCAGAGACTGGGGCTACTCGCACTGAAACCACAAGAGCACCCACTCTATCTTTTATTTTTTCTTAAAATAACAAAAAAAATCCAACCGTAAGTTTTATCAGAGACCAACAACTGCAGATCAGCATTTTAAGTAAAGCCTGAAGTATTTAAAGTATTTATTTTTTGGACCTGTCACAAAGCACCCGCTTTGGTAGGTGAAGTGCGCTCAGCACAAGGCACAAGCTAAGCCCCCCAGCCGCAACAAACTGAGTGGAGCGTGAATACCTCTGACTCAAGACATGTCCCAGAAAACAGAACCAAACAACAGAGCATGCACTGCCTTTGTCAAAATCCAGACCACTGTCCCTTTAATCACAGCATTTACAATAGAGTGATATAATTCTGTGATTTCTGTTGTACTTTTTGTAGAGAATGGAGAAAAGAAAACTAGATTTTAAAAGTCAGAGGTTAACTACTGCAAGTGAATTACTCCTACAATTACTTTAAGCAGCTAACTATTTTAAAAAAAAATTAGTACTTTCTTACATTCATTAGAAAAATAAGGAAAATAAAGGTATTTTTCTTATACTGGAGTTCTAGTAGTGGACACAAACTTTCCTTGTTTCCCTATTCCAGCAGATGCAGAGGCACCATGGCAAGTCAGAAAAACTTGAGAAGCCACACGAGAAATCAGAAAGAAAAAAGGTTAGAAGTCCATAAAATTACAACATAGTGAGAACAAAGAATTTCAACTTCCTATTAAATTTCATTTTGATAACTTACCTAAGGGGTTCAAACAACTTCACCAGTGAATCCCGAGTATCTACTGCAGCTACATTTGAGAGTGCAAAGTCATATAACTCCGGGAAATGTGCAAATGCTGCTCTCTACAAAAGACCCATACCCCAAAACTGAATGTAAGCACATTAATGAAACAATTCAATAACATTCTAAATATTTATACAAAAGCATAGCTTATTCTGGTGCATAACACATAATAGTAGTATCCTGTGGACACTAACAGGACAGAAATAGAAACCAGATGACATGTCTATTATTCTTAGTTAGCACCAGATATTTGTTACTCCTGTGCTTCCAACACTGTATTTTTTTTTATACATCCTTCTATCAGCATTTTGTCTGTCACTAAAACAAAACATAAGGGGGCAGACATGTAGTCTTGCAGACAACTAAGAAAAACAAGGAACAAGTTTAATTTAACTATGCCTCCTTCAATTTTTTTTGTTAAAAAATTATGAGAAAAAATAATCTGAAAAGTGTTCACTATCTTTATATGGCTACAAGCGATGTGCGCTTTTAGTTTCTCTTACGTACATGGGTCCACTATTGCTACCGTTATGTGTGTACCGATCTTGAAGAAATGGTGCCACCTACTGCATAATCATGCATTCCTACAGCACTTCATTTCCCCTTCTGAATAGATTTAACCGGAGCAGTTTATCTCGACAACACGAAATCACAAGCAGTGGTCTTTTGCTAGAGCATATTTTCTAGTCATAACATTGAAGCATTAGTTGCCTTTGATATGGTACAGAAAGTCAAGTTAAAACTATTCCTGTAACTCAGTAGGAAAAAATAAGGGGTTTGCTCTGGGAAGTAATTTACTGCTTATTCCAGATTCAAATTAGAACACAACAGCAAAACCAAAACACAGCAAAACTAGAACACAACAGCAAAAACTTCCCTCTCATAAGCACTTTGCCATCTGCCTACCTGTAGAGAAGTAATTCTGTCGTAATGAATCGTTGTCATCTCATTCTCTGTCAAAGCATTTCCAGTTTGATCATTAATTTCAAAGCCAGTGTAGAATTTAAGCATATCTAAAAGCTGAGACATCATCCATATAAGAAATTAGCAGATTAACAATAAGAGACACTCTATCAAAAACAAAAGCACAACTTAAAAGGACAAACCTGAGCAGAAACAAGAGCTCCTCAAAGTTCTTGAAGAAATGGACTAAGGAGCAGTACCTAAGTTTTATACTTGGCCAATGCGTAAAATAATTTTGTTTATGTATCTCATCTTCAAACTATAGAAATTACGGGACAGTCTACAGCCAATGTGGCTTCTTTTACATATTAAGACTTGAAACTGAAACTAACTGCACTAAGGTTCACTGAGACACTTAACCAAACTCACTGCTTTCTGCTACCAAAAGGGAGAGGTCTTGCTCCTTCCTGCCCCCTCTGACATCAGCTCTAGAATTCATCCTACCTTTCAATGAGATTATGTAACTTGGAAGAAGAAAATTAGTCAGAAGTGCTGCTGGCTTTGACTTCCATCAGCACTGACTCTCAGAGAAAGTGAATAAATGCCAGAGATGGAGGACAGTATGCAGCAGGATAAGCACCTGAGATGCAGGAAAGGGGACACATCTTCCAATCCTGCCATAAAAAACAATTCACTGACTGAGTAAACTAAGGACAGCAGTGAAAAACAGCTGCACTGTATAATTGTCTGAGATCAAAATCAAGCACAGGAGAATGCACTGGTGACAACGTCTGCTGTACGTGGGGTAAAGAATGCCAGAAACTGCACTGTTTTCTGAGTTGTACTTCTAAGAACCGTTCAAAAACAGAGTCAGAAATGTAAAAGCAGTTAGACACATGGGGACAAGTAAGAAAGAACTACTGTCTGAAGGATTTAAAAAACCACGTAGTTAGCATCCCTGAGGAAAAACTGCCTTAACAAATAAATATAAAATGAAACAACTACAGTATTCAGAGCCGCATCAGAATGAAAATGTTATTTTCAGTAACTTGTATCTCACCTGGCAGAAGAGATGACCCTCCTTCTCTCTTTTAGCAAGACTGGACAGGTAACAGTGAACAACAAGATGGGAGTCATCCAACACTGTATTAAACCAGCGGCGAGTGGGAAGCAAAGCCTGTCATCACCAACTTCACATTAATACAAGCAATTCTTAAAAATTAAACAAATCCTGATTTCTCATATTTTTTTATTTCAAGAAGGCCTATCAAGATACAATGTGCCATAGTTATTTACATATCTAACACCCTAACAGAGGTTCTCATACTGAAGCAGCCTTTATATACGCCAAGAGTCTGGTTTTACACAGGCAGGCTGCTATGAACACAGCCTTTTATACGACTGGGAGCATGGCACGAACTTGCCACTACGCAGATTGCACCCTGCTAGAAATAAAAAATATATTAAATAAAGCAATTGTTCTACTACTAAGAGTCTACACAATGACTGTGTGCTTCAAAAGGTATGTTGAACTGCAGCAACATTGCTTTAAATGTTTGTTCTCAATACTCATTAATTTGCAATCTTGTCTTTCTCGAGATTTTAGATTGTGTTTCTTCTAAATATAGCATGGTATCTTCTATTCTTCGTTACTCAAAACAGATCTAAGAATTTTTCAGATTTTTAATTCAAAACCTATAAAAGTTTTCTGTAAATGAAACATATCTTTTTAAAGTTTAAAAAAAAAAAGAACTTCTTTACTGTGAGGGTGACGGAGCACTGGCCCAGGCTGCCCAGAGAGGTTGTGGAGCCTCCTTCTCTGGAGACTTTCAAAACCCGCCTGGATGCGTTCCTGTGTGGCTGCCCTGGGTGACCCTGCTCTGGCAGGGGGATTGGACTGGATGATCTCTAGAGGTCCCTTCCAACCCTCAACATTCTGTAATTCTACGACCTTCTTTTCAATGTAAATGGTTTAAGCTGCGGTACGTAGTGACTGTTCAACTACTCACAGTAGTACACATCAACAATTCATTTTTCTTTTTAAAAATTCTTTTTTAAATTCACAGAATTTAAAAAGCCAAAAAGCATCAACATGGTGTTTAGACCTCAGATGAAGAAACTAAAAGAATCTGTAGCAGGCAGTATTAACTACCCTGCACAATCACAAAAAACAAACTCAGAAAATAGCAAAAATGTTTCAAGGAGTAACACTTTTCAAATCACCAAATCACCAAGTTTTGAGGGCAGCCTACATTGTAACATGAAACAGTGATACCCTGAAAAAGGCCTCAACATAGGTAGAAGGGCCCACTAACACAGTACATACTACAGAGGCAAAGAGGCCTGGATTTGCAGCTGATAACCTCATTAGCTTGGTCCAGTCACTTAAACAGGCTTCACAAACTGTGAACTCTAACTTTCCTGTAATACCCACTAAGAACCAACATGAAATGTACGGCCTCTAAGCATACTGGGTAACAGCCACATTTACATTTAACTTCAACTATCTATTTTCTCTTACAAGATGATATTATATCTTTAAGATAAGCTACTAATTTAAAAGAATTCATTCAATAGCAACTACAAGCACAGGATACTTTTGTGATTTGGCAGAGGACAGCTAGCCTGTATGAGTTCAAGATCAAGCCATTTTTAAGTTCCCTGTTATCACTGTTACAGAAAACTGTCTTATTTCAGAATGCCTTCTAAATCTGGAATTATTTAAAACAAATTGCTACTAGTAAGAAATTGTAAATTAATGTTTTTTATTTTTAATACTGGTACTGCGGAGCTTGAACTTGTTCCACTTTCTCAGTGCCTGCTGAAAAATTTCACAAAACCTTGCTTGGCCTCCTATTAACAAACCTAGATCACCAGAACTTTTACCTCTAAATAATGAATTCTAATCAAAGAGGAGGAGTTTGCATTTCAGAACTACTGATGCCTTCTGCTATTATACCTACAACACAAAAGATCTCTTAAGTGACCTACCACGCATTGGGTTACTCCTGGCAGATTAAAGAATTGCACATTTCATCAACTGCCAGAATTATTACCAATACTCCAACTAACAGTCATGTTCACTGAGCAGTTTAGGATCTCAGGTTTCTCTAACACTTCAACTGGTTCATAAACATTGCTACTCAGTTCCCAATCTGGATGCACTGCTACAGCCTCCTATTTAAAGACAAAACCTCACTATTAAGCAGCCATATGCATGTCTGTGACCTAACAACCTGCTGATTGGAATAAGGCTGTAATCATGACTTTACACATGTAGAATCTAGAAAATTACACTTGGAAACTGGTTGAAACAATCTAATTACTTACCTCAAGATCTAGCATGAGTTCAATGAATCTCTCACAATAATGAACTTTGTCCATAGAAATAGGACCTAGATTTAAAAAAGCAAAAACAAAAAAAACTATCTCCAAACTGATCCACACCACAATATACTTGAATTGTTCTTTAAAAATGTAATAAATGCCACTAATATACCAGTATTAGCCTTTAACAAGATTAAAAAGTTAACTAGCACATTCTTCTTTCGATGCAAACCAGGAAAAATTTGAAAGAAAGTAATGGAATCGGAGTTTCAGGAGTGATTTTATCTACTCTGAAAAAAATAACCAAAATGATATACAAAAAGGTACACTTCCACAAAATACCAATGGCCCTCGAAGCTTCTTAAGAACTTTTAACGCCAGGTACTCAAAAATATCTATTTTAAAGTTGCAATCAAGGGGTGTGCAAAAGGCCTTGACAAAATTCAAAGGTACTCAAAATCAAAGGTATTACTGTGGAGCTTTTAGAATCACATCAAAACACAACACTGTGTTAATGAGCATCTATTTTCCTAAATCCTCCAAAGAACTGTTAAATGTAAATTTTGCTAAAACAGGTCTTGCACGCGTGGGAAAACAGAGGGGACAGGTATCCTTTCTGAGGAAACCACATATACAGAGGATTTCTCCTTAAAGCTCAGTTAAGAGCTGAAGTTTGCTAGGAGTTTAAGAGCAAAAGCAGAACTCTGAGAAGTGATTTCACCCACATTATCCTGTGCCAAGAGCATAATAAGCCTTTTTGTCAAAAGGCTAACACCTTCCTCTATAAACACTTTTCCTTTCTAAATCAGGCAAGCATATAATTTTACTTGTCACAATGACTTATAAATCAAGAGCAGTCAAATCTTACGGAATTTCACTTCACTTAAGCCTTTGTTCTTACCATAAATCAATAGCACTGACAGAACAGAGTCTTATGATACGCATTTATACCACCTGTTTAACAAGGCATTTAAGTATGTATGAAATGTTTTAATGCTGTAAGAAGGCTGTAAGCACACAATGAAGAAGATCAGTACCCAAGAATACTTTTTTTATTAAGTCCATACTGAATAGAAGGAGAAGATGTTTAAAGTGGCTTTCTGGTATTTCATTTTTAAAGAACATACAGATTTGAATGCTTATTTTGACATAAAATCCATGCAGACAGTCATGGATTTCATTAAAACCCCATTCAGATAAGGTCTCCAAACTCAGGCTGGTATTCTAAAGAATAGTTGCTTCAGCAACAGAAAGGAATTTAAAACAGATTAGCAGATAACAAAACACAGGAAGCACAGTTACCTGAGATAGGTATTGATTTTAGCACAGAAATGAATTTCTGAATAAGCTGTGAAAGAAATCTTCTCTCCTGATATGCTCTAAAACCAGACACAGGACAAAAGCGTTAATATTCCTGAAATGCAGACCAGAAGCATATCGTATCTTCCACTAATACACAAGTTACACTAACCTCACAATATCAGCTGCTTTTAAAATTACATAATGCTACCAGGTTGCTTTGAAACACACTTAAAGGGTTCAGATGGTAACTCTCCTCTCTGCACTCAGGCAGACAGATTAGCAGAGTGTACATTTTTAGGCACAGAAATGATTAACAGCCCCTGCTTCTATTGAATCAAAGAGAAGTTTGTCACCACCTACACCTTACCACACTGTAACAGAAAAGTATTGGAACGTTTAACTTTGGTGGGATTAAAAAAACTTATTCAAATACTTACATAAGCTATTCGCTTAAGAGCTACACATTTGCTAAAGGTCATAAGAAATATGAGTATGTACATGAACATATTCTTAGTGCTTTCATCTTATAGCTCTAAGATTTGGTATCACCAATTAAGTGATCAAATAAAATACTAAGTTCTGTAATGGTATTTTGCATAAGGATTACAGGAAAATAAAATAGTTTCTGGAGATCACATATGATCAATTCTTATTTGCCATTTTCACAGGTTTTTTTAACACACTTTTTTTTAATTGAAATAATTTATTTTAGCTGAAACACAATGAATGCATTAAGGGATTTGAATTTAACAGGAAAAAAAAGTTTCTGTAACATACCGCATTCTCGCCTCCTCATCCATTTTCTCATCATTCTTCTTAATTAGATTCCAGAATTTTCTTAGTTTTGGTGTTTTCTTTAGCTCTTGTTCCAGTCGTTTCTGAAATATTAAAATGTTACTCAACCACCAATAATCTGTGTTTCCACAAGAGAGAAAAAGGCAATCCAGTCTTCTTTTTTAGTAAGAAAAAAATATATAGCAAACCAAAATAAACAGCTGTCTCAATCTGATCTCAATAAGTATCACTGCAAAACAAGAATGTAATACTTGTAGAGTGAGTTGTGGCTACATGTCAGCTCCATTCCCTAGTCCCCCGGATCTCATGACCTCGTCTACAAATTATAGCTTGAAGAAGCTATAAACAAGAAAGTTTAGTTTTATGAAAAATTACACAATCAATTAATAATTACAATTACGTGGAAATTATCAACAAACAAGAAAGAGAATTTTACCAAGCGGACAAAAATATAATTGCATAGCAATGTAGGCAGCTTTAAATACCAAGACTTCCATAACGGTATTCCAGAAGAATTCAATTTACAGGACTTGGATAATGCCTAGAAAATTGCTTTACCAGCTTAGTATTATGCTTACAGGTTGTAGAGCCATCCACATGGGTAAGGAAATGAGTTGCTGCACCTGGCCTCTGATCAAATCCACTTCCTGTTAGAAAGTTACAGAAAGAAAACATTTTTTAAAAAATTCTTATGTTTTCCAATATGCCTGCCTTACAGAAATGTATCAATGTACACTACTGTCTGACAGAAATCCTTATGTGGTTGTACTGGATTTCACAATTTCCTAACAGGAAACTTCAAAATAGCCCTACCCAGTAACACCTAAAATTACTTTTGTATTTTAGGTTCTTTTCATGGTATCTGTCAGTTCTTAACACTTTCACAGGGGCCCCATTCATATGGGTTTTTATCATAGATGCTCACAAGAACGGATGTTCTTTCTTCAGTCATTTCTTGACCTTGAGCTGAGACTTCTCTATTTGTTTTTACTCTATTCTTTCCCTCCTGAAGCCCTTCATTTATCAAGTTTCTGTCACTTCATCTACACTCTTCCCATGATCTGAAATAACTGATTTTCTCTATAATTCATGTAACTTCAACTGTAGTTTCAAAATGTTCTCTCTTCAACTCTGCCTGTGATCTGGATCCACAAAGTTTTCTGTATTTCATAAATTACTGAAAACATCATTAACATCTTAAATATCTTCAAATACTCCATTCTCAGCATTCTGAAACTCCATGCTTCAGGGCTCCTTACTTAAGCCACTACTGTGCCTATCCTGTTCCGCATTCCACACAGAAGGGCAGCATCTAATAGCACTATGTTTTTACAAGCATTTTTTTAGTTGCTTCCATATCACGTTATACGAGAAATATGCTCTGCGAGCAGGATTCTATACAGTCACTGTCAAATTCTCCTTCAAAATAAAGATCCATTGTACCACCACCACTACAGAAAAATACTGCCTCAATAAATTGTACACATAAGCATAAGATTCAGGATGATTACTGGCTCCCATCATCATTCCTAGTTCCAAAATCAAATAGTACACTTTCTAAATTGTTTTGTCTGTGAGACACAATTTTGTTCTTTACTTACACAGACCTTTAACTGATACATCCTGTGTGCAATGTAAAGAAAAAGCCCAGTAGCATGAACAGTAACTGTACTGTTTCATATAACATAATTGTAAATTTTTCTTCACACTTGCTACTTAGTATGCGTGACGGTGTTTTTGCTGCAGATTGAGAACACAACTTGGTCCAATGCTTTCTTAAACTCAGGAGAAGTGCAGGCAGAAATATTATTTAAACCTGTTTTCAAAAGTGAAAAAAATACCGTCTTTCTCAGTAGTCAAGGAAATAATTTTGTGCAGTTTCCAAACTAAAAAGAGCACAGTACTAAGTAATCTGCTTTAAGTGTAACACACGTTTTCAAATAAAAATAGGCACCATTTTAAAGATAAGTCTGAATCTATGCATTTAAATTACAGAAATGCCAGTCCACCAATTTCAAGTCTTTTCCATGACATCAAAGAAAAGCAAATGTGATAGAGAAAGTAAAAGTCAAAAAGAGTAAAAGCCTTCCAGTACCATCATCTTCCTTAAATGGGAACTTTGTTTCGTCTGTCTCATAAGAAGAAATCACTCGAACTAAACTCCTGTTAACACAGAATGGCATAAATATACAGAAAGTATTACAGCTACTTTTAACATACCAAGCTATTGAAGCAGTGATCAAGGAAAAGCAACAGGACTGTCTGTTCATGCAGAGAGTATTCACTGTCATTCTCAACCAGCGACGCTTCCAGTATGCATTTGAAAAAGAAGGGAAAGTGTTCTGGCTTTTTTTTGAACGTCTACAAACAGAAGAAGTTGATTTTGAGTCAGGTTGATACAAATCATTTCAGTTTTCATTCACATAACATAGCCTAAGTTCCCCAAATCCACTGCAACTTGTAAAAGAAAGGATGAGTTTTTCTTCTTTTTATTTATTTATTCTGACCTGGCAGCACAAGCACAGAGACTCATTATATCCTCCTGACCTGGGATCCTCATACTATGGGAATGCTCCTAGTGGGACTATGACCTTCTGTGCACCCTGGCACACGTGACGCATGGGACAAAGAACACGAAGCACAAGCGGAGTGGACTGTGTTGTGGTAATGTTCAACTGGCAATCACACAGAATTACTGTAAAATGACACAGCTTAGAAGAGAATTGGTAGATTTTGACCAAAGCTATGGCAGTTGTTTAATGATCTGCAAAAAGCATGCAGGTAAAAATCACCAGTGACTAATTACAGTTGGGGAACTCTTCTTC